TACTAATAGCTTCAGAGGTTTGTGGATACAAATGAGCACGGCTCTGAGCATCTATTAAAATATGGAGGCGTTGCTCTGTTGAATCAGTAAATGGAAGTGGAATAACTTGTAAAACCGAGTGAATCTGGCTCGATGAACTAATCTCCCTCCCCGTGTAAGTGTCAACAAATGAAAGTAAACCTGGTCCATCCATACTTTGTCCACAACGGCCTACTACGAGCACAGATGGATTCTCATCCATCGCACGATGGTGGGGGTCTTGCCATTGATAAATATTGAGCCATCTTGGAGCACAAGCTTCTGACTTATGGGAAGGTTGCAGTAAACGAGACCATACAATGCGGCCATCTCCAGAGTGCAATGCAAAGAGTTTTCCTGATTTAGTTAGAACAATAAGCAGTTTTCGGAATCCATTGTGATCCCGACTCATTTTGCTCTTGTCAGAACTCTTCAACCTCATATTTTGAATAGCTGCTACATCCTCGGGGCTTGCAATCATTAAAGTCCCCTTGAGTTTCAGCAGATGTCCCTTTCAAGAACAGGACATATCAAAGGGCATCTTGTCAGGAAGGAAACATTTCAAGAAATACCAAAATTTCCCTTTTAATCAACTAACCAGAGCAAGAAAAATAATAAAATATTCGAACTAGAGACTACCGAGTAAAAGGAACCAAATAGTAGGCTTACTATGTATATAATAATGATTTTTAATCTTAGAGAACATTATCGGTTGTTCATAATTTAGTTCATAATATTTTGAAAGAGTTGCATACCTGCAGCCATTCAATGAGATTGTGCTCCACCTTTGCTATAGAGACGCCTTTTTTTTCAACAGGCAGTTCAGATGTCACTACATTTACAATAGAGGCAAGGCCATCTTCCCTACTCCACACAACTTCACCTTGTTGTACTAATAACAGTGAATGGTCTTCCATGACAAGTAGAGCCCTGAAACCATGTGACCGATCTTTCCGAATGTAAGAGTGCAAAAAAAACTTCTGGACAGTTCCTCTGTGACCATCAATTACTATATTTTCGTCGATAAAATTACTGCTCCAGTTATCAATAAGCTTGACAGTTAGACGCACATGACTTCCCTCGTGCTGCACTAAAGCAGCTGCATGCTGGCCCTCTGAAACCAAGAGAGCGTCACTTAGAGTTGCCTGACTGTGAATTTTATCCACCACCTCCAACTCACCTTCTCCTTTTACTCGTACTAATGTTAAACGAGAATCAACTTTAACAGCAAATAATCCAGAAAGCTTTGAAATCACTATTTCAATTAACCCAGAAAGTTCATCAATGAGGTGTGCAATAGGTGTCTGTAGAATCCCAATTTCACCATTCCTAAGGTTTATTATAACTAGATTTGACTTAGTGGCGTCCAATGTCACAAGCACATCATCAGAAACTGATACTAATTCTCCAGAAAAGCCACCAGAAAATGTTGCCGTATGGTGCTTCACCAACTCTCCACTCTTAACATTTATTTGAAACTGATCAAACTGGGTTGGACTTGAAAATCCCACAGCATAAATGGTATCACTTTCATGATGTTGAATGATTTTTTGAATTTCTACACTGAAACAGTGATAAAATCAATAATGATATCAGTGGCACAGTGATTTACATTTTTCAAAAGAAATAAAACCAAGCACAAACTCCACATTGGAAATACCTGTTCTCTGTTAAGTCAATCTTCCAAATAACCTCACCGTCTAGGGAGGAGACAGCATGCAGACAACTGCTACCAAAAACTAGGATCACAGTCTCCTGGTTGGCTTTCAAACTTTTCTGCAAATTTTATGATTTACATTAATCAAATGGATACTAGAGAAAGAAAGAAAAAAAAAAAAGAATATAGAAGAAATTAACTTAGCACCGGTTGATCCACTTGGATCAAAGGAATCAAATTCAGAAAATACAACATTTTGTTAAATAGGGAAGAGAAACAATCATACCAACTAGAAGCAGCAAATAAAAAATCAAAACCTTAGGTGATATTCACTTACTGGAACCAGTAGCAGTGACTTTGATGGATTGGTTCCCTGAAGAAAAGACTCCCATACCATCTGACCATCAGGAAGGTTCCACGCTCTTAAAAAATTCCCCTCCGATGAAAGAGAAACAACATCTGACATCATTTCATTAAATATTTAACTGGCATACTAAAAGTTGAATTGTAAAGCTTAATTGGTATTTCAACAGATATAAAGGACCAAATTTGAGCTTACGTGGCATCTATTATTAATAACAGACAGGAAGAACTAAGTATACTTCACATTTGTACAATAATGATGGATCAACAACCATCAGAGAGTAATAATAATGATGGATCAACAACCATCAGAGAGTAACATTCTTAAAAGAATACTTATGTCGTGAAATAGGAGTTACACCCCATGAGGCAGATGACTTGAGGGTAAGATTTAAGATCTTCAAAAGAATCAGCATATTCACGTACTTTTTATCAAACTCCTAGAGGAATTTCCTTTGTACACAATAAGCAATTCAAATAAATGTTCAAAATGGCAGAAATAGTACTCCGGAGCAATATTATATGGATAAAAAAAAAAGTGAAGGCCTTACATTTTCCAAGAACGAACTCGATTCCATCAATGGAATCATTGGGGCCAAGGACATGTCTCCAAACTGCACAAAAACAATTAGAAGGTAAGACTTTTAATAAAAGACAAATGAACTATTTTCAAAATGAAAGCTTCCACCACCGCCAGAAGCAACGTTGTATTCTTTCTTCAACCTTGTTAGTACATGAATCATTTCAAATAATTGGATTACCCAAAACTTAGATAGAAAAGTGGAATTTCATTGTCTTAACTTTCATTTTTTGCAAGATTATTGTTATGGGTAGCTCTAATAAAACACAAACTGTTCTCATGTAAAAACTCGACTTCTCGACTAATATGTTACATAATTGGTTCCCATCTTCCCAAATACTATGGGCTATAACAAGAGCACCCATTGCAGAATGGGCACCTTTGCTCATTATCCAGGGGGATTAAACAATTTTTTCTTCCGTTTGTTTAGAGGAAAGGTTCAGTTAGAGCCTACATAGTTAAAAATTTCAGTTCAGCTTCCTAAGTCATTTGGTTATTGGTAAACCCACTAAGAAAAAAATAATGCTAAAGGAATGTTGAGCTCACAAATCTCGCCATGCCGAAGATCAAGTGACGCAATTACATTCTCTTCAGTGGATACAACTACACGCTTTCGCCCCGATTTTGAAGAATGGAATAACGCGTGCTTCGCTTTCCCCAAGTACTGCTGACGCCTGTAATCGAGGGATCACTTCACAACTTTAACAAATTGAATTGAATGGATGAATAATTCAAAGCTATTAAAATTCAACTAAAAGCTAAAGGGAAAACAGTCAATTGAGAATCTGAATTTGAGAAAAGACATTCCAAGTTAATCACGAGCAGTATAAGAGTCATAATGCAATCAATAAGACGCAAACTAGATACACGACATAAACCAAGGCCTCCCTTATTTTGAGATACTGATGAACATTTCGAAGAAAAGTATCAATAAACAGGTGAATCCAAACGAGAAACTAGCCCGAATGGATTCGGAGCAATCCAAGTATTTTGTGCTAGTATATACACAAATATATCGAGAAAACGAACAGATCAATTACTCTAGCAGGTCAAGCATGGCGTATATTTAATTGGGATGATAAATTCTCCAATCAAAACTTTTCCACAAATTTCCTAGCCAACCTAGCACAGCTGAGGAATAAGAGCTCAAGAGAAGGCAACGCACCAGTCCATAAGGCCAACCTGATCTTCGTAAAGCGAAAATCCATAGTTCGCGAGTGATGCAAATAATGTAACGAACAGAAGAAGATAAACCTTCACCGTAAAAACCATGGCGACTTTCAACTCCTCCTTCTCGCAGTGAGTGACCGAGAGAGATCTGAGAATAACGAGTAGCTCGGTCGAACGACGATGCCAATGACCCAGTGGTTTTTTTAAGCCGGCGCTAAACCAATTTATAAAGACAATTTTCTTCCCTCTTTTTTCCCGAATTTTCCTTCGAAAGTTTTAAACTCTAAGATTTAATGAGATTTTTATATTATTTAAATTAATTGTTTTTTTCTATGCTCATTTATGAAATTTTTATTTTTAATAAAAGTAAAATATTAATAAATAAATAAATACAAAAACTATGATTTATAACTTTATTTCGATATATATTTTAAAAGCGGAGAATGAATAATAAAAAAATTAATTTAATAACTAAATAGTAGAGACGATTTTTTCAGCCATTAACTATTTACAGTTGAATTATGCATTTTAGTTAAACAATTGTAAAAGTGGGAGATTGAACTATGGGGCGGTGCCCTGATCCCTACAAGTAGAGACCTCGCTCGTGAAGTAAGTTACCTCTCACTTACGATCCGACCAGTTGGGAGCTTTGCCAAATATAATAAAAAGTTATGGTTGTAGCTCCAAGACTCGATCCATTATTTCAACTCCCCCCCTCCTCCTCCCAATAGAGCTCAGGACTCCATATTCGAATCAAAGCTATCAATGTGACGATTAAATGGACGTTGAGAGTAGATTTCTCGATCACGATCTGTAACGATCTCGCATACGAATTAGAAAACTTACCATAATTGACACCTTCTCAATTTAACTAGATTTAGATTCGATCTACCAAATAAGATAAGGGTGACAATATAACGCACAAGCCCACTGTTAACCGATATTGTTCTCTTTTGATTTTCACTTTCAACTTTCTCCTCAAAGTTTTGAAAACACTTCACTGTAAGAGGTTTCCACACCAATACTTTGTTCTTCTTTTTTAATTGACGGAATCTCACAATTATACAATGTCTTAGCTGTCACTCATTCTTCTCTCTTTAGCATGGGATCAGCTAAATGTTGGATTGGAAATGGATAGGTATTTCATACAGTGGGCTCCGCTGTTTGACACTTGCCATCCACCGGACGTCCTTGTTAGATAGTAGCAGCACGGCACGGCACGGCAGCGCTGGTCGTAGGACGAGAGTGTACACAATAGACTTAATTTGTCTGTGAGTAGTTATTGATAGAGATTTATTTGTTCTTTATCTCATCTAAAGCTTAATATTGACCGGACTAAGGTGATCCTGCGACTGGGATTCAGTTTCTTCAGGCCCCTCGCAATTCATCCTTGCCATGCAGGCAGATTTTGATCCACAAAATTATATATAGTACACGACTCTCGCCCGAATTCACCTTGTTCCATTTTCTGGCAATTGAGATGGATGCAACTGCTTGCAATCTACCGTTGTGTGGAATTCATCACTTCTATTCCAATTCAATGGAAGTTCAAGCTGGAAAGTCCATGTTCGCGGTGAAGGTTCCTCAATCTTTGAAGTCCAGCTCATTTCGTCTTCCCTGGGGCGGTTCTTCGAAGCTGAAGTTGAAATCAAGATCGAGCGTCCTAGTATTGGCTTCCAGTTCGAACTCTGTGTATGAATCTTCTGCGTCGGCGAAAATTGAGAACGATGATGACGGAGGTCTTGTTTGCCCTCCTGGCTATCAGCCCACGCCTGCTAATCGCGAGCTGCGGACTCCTCACAGCGGGTAAAACGCTGTCTAAATTTTTCATTAACGAAGGTTCACATCTAGCATAAATGTCCTAGTTCCTAATTTCTTGCCACTGCTCATCTGAATGGTTGAGGCGGCTTCACTAATGGGTTGCATGTATCTGTGAACCCCTCATTGTTTTGTATCTGTGCACACTGTTATATGTACTAGTCTTCAATTAAATGCCCAGTGGTCACCGTCAACATTCAGGTTCCGTCTCACGAATTGTTTGTTCATCCTCTGTTTTATAACCAATAACCAACAAATGCTAGAGATACAACAAGTATTCAAAACAAGTTATGTATGGCTTAAAGGGAGCTTATCTCCTCTGATGTAGCAGAAGAGAAGCACCAATTAATGAGAACTATGAGCTGTGCTAAAAGATGGCATAGAAAAATGGAGCAAAAAGTGAAGGAAAGATAGAATGAGAGAGCCAAAAATCAGTCGACTATGATTGGAGCGAGTGGACGAGTGGAGGAGACGAGCTATGCTATCGAGGGGATTATAGGGAACGCTCCTGAAACAGTAATCAAGTGTGTGAAGATGAGTGAAAGAGAAATAGAAAGATGTGGACTGAGAGTAGCGGGAGTGGAAGTGTTGGGGAAACTGGAAAGATGCTGGAGCTATTGTAAGAAAGAATGATGATTAAAGTAGTATATTTGTATCTTTAAAGATGAGTTAACTGGTCATAACTCACCAAACTTGTAAGATAAAAGGTTGTTAATGATTTTTTTTTTTTTTCCTTTTTATCCTTCCTTCTGGAGCATTTGAACCCGGTGTAACCTTATTTTTGTTATGTCATCTGAGGTGAATTGTTACTCGTCCTTATATTATGACTGCATCATGGTTGATCTCATTATATATGGTTATGTGGCAATCAATGATTTACATTTTCCAATTTTCTGTACTTCGTATTGAATCAGGTATCACTTTGATGGGAGTACTCGGAAATTCTTTGAAGGTTGGTACTTCAAGGTATCAATTCCACAGAAGAGGCAGAGTTTCTGTTTCATGTACTCTGTGGAGAACCCTGCATTTCCTAAGAAATTAACGACACCCGAAATCGTACAACATGGACCCAGGTTTACAGGAGTTGGAGCACAGATTCTTGGTGCTTATGACAAATACATATGCCAATACTCTGAAGAGTCTCAAAACTTTTGGGGAAGTAAGTTTTGATATCAAACCTATCTTCTTTTCTTAGTTCTCCTTTACAATGCTTCGATAGTGAGATCAATTCTTTTTAAAACTTGAGGTCTTATTTTGTGACAAAAGTATGAGTGGATAAAAACTTCCATATATTTGCTGTTCTATCAATGCCTTGCCTTATGGATCAACTGCTGCTAACTTTATGTTCAAACATTATTTAATACACGAAATTATGGAACGACATTCCCTCTACTCCATACAAAACATAATCACTGCCAATTGGAATTTTAAACAAACCACTTCTTTCTTGGTTGTCTTGTAATGTGCATAATAACATATATACCTTCATTGTTTGGGTAATTGCTATATTTTTTTTCTTTTGGTAATTAATTTGGATTTTGAATCAAATTTTTGTTTCGACTGAAGTCAGAAAATTTTCCACTAACCTTTTTTGGTCTGATTAAGTATCTAAGCATTTCAGCAAATACAGATTTAACTACCGTGCTAGTGCATGGCTTTGTCATTCCAATTTTTCCAGCATGCATATTTGTTTCAGGAGTGATATTTGGTTAGAGACCTCTCTTTCCTACTTTGCACCTCTTTCGTTTGGCCTGTTGTCCCTCTAGTCACTTTGGCCTTTGTCCTCTTGGTTGTCCTCAGGCTGCTGAGAGAAATATTCTTGAGAAGGAATTGGATGAGTTGTTTCTTTGCTTGGTATACTTTAGATGATTGCTATCAGTCACAATTGAAGGAATTGGAGTGGTTGGTAAAAATTTTGATTCCTCATATATCTTGTGGGTAAGGGGAGAATTTTATTCTTGTGACTTTATTGAAAGATTTATATCTTTATGTGCCTATAGTCGTAATTTTGTGATCACCTCTGTCAGGTCTGTAATGGATTACTTATGGATTTGCCTACTTCATGTCAGTCTTTCCTATGCCCAGAAAAGTTCTATTATTTTTTATTTTTCTAATGTTATATTTTTATAAAAAAAAACTTGGATGTATTACAAAAGAGAGAACAAAACAACCGAAGAGCGGGGAAGAGGGATCCCCCACCCAAAAAACTAGCAGTCATTGGTGATTAAAACACCACAGTAGAGGTGAGCTGTACATTTCTGCAAAAAGAAATATCGAAAGTAGAAGCCTTATCCTCAAAAGTTCTTTGATTCCTTTCCAACTAATTATGTCCTTCGATTCTCAGAATACATTTATAAAAGAGGTCTCAACCTCTTTATACAGGCTATGGTTTTCAGATAACTTATTCATGTATTTTTTTAAAAAAATGACGCTAATGCTGGGTTTTTAATGCATAGGTAGGCATGAACTGAGTCTGGGCAACTGTTTTGCATCTAAAGGAGGGTTTAAGTCTCCAAACAAGGAAGTTCATCCAGAGGTTGAGATGCTTTCTTAGATTGTGTTGTTTCATTTAATGTTGAGACTTGGTCTTTTCTTTCTCTCTCTTATAGTCTTATATAAGTTCAATTAATTCATGAATGATTTGTGCATCTTTTTCGAGAGAAAATTTGTCAGATTGGAATCTCTTCTTGCTTCAACTATTCTTGTCTCTGACAGAGGTTGTGAATGACTTTATTTTATATTATGGGCAACCCTTTTATAGGAGTTCAATAGTAAGGTCGAGGAAGGTTTTCAAGTCACTCCACTTTGGCATCAAGGATTTATTCGTGATGATGGCAGGTGCTCCGTCTCTTTTACTTTATTGAGCTTTTAGTACCGTGTTGAGAATCTTTAACTTCAGTTTTTGTCCTTAAGATAGCTTCAGTTAAAGTTGAATGCTAATATCTCATGTGGAGTAGCCCCAAGGGGCAGCTCTGTGGGTGAAGGCTCGCAGTCTCTAAGGAACACTTATCTTACACTAATTCATCACTGCAGTCTCTACACTAATTCGTCCCCATATTGTAGAGCTTTTGTGGCTTCTTTAGATCATATACATACTCCTAACACAGTTCAAGAAGCATACTTTTATGTAAAGTCGCCACTCTAGAAGAATTACATTCTCTTGAAAAAAATAAATGTGAATCCTATGGGTGCAGTTGGATAAAGATGGATTTTTTCAACCAATCACAAACCAAATGGTAGTATAGAGCCATTCAAAACTTGTCTTCAAGGAAACATTTGTTCCTGTTGCGAAATGAAATTTTATTCAAGTACTTCTCGCTACAATAAATTCATTTTTTAATAGAGACCTAGTGAAGAAGTGATTATGAGCCTATATCTTGGATTTGAGTACATATATACTCCGAAGGTATGTAAACTGAAGAAATGTATGGATTAAAAAAGTCATCTCAAGCTTAGTTCAAAAAGTTTACAAATGTATTGAAGTAAGATGAATACACTCAATATTAATACAACCAAACCCTATTCATCAAGAATTTTTCACCAAGTAAAATTACTGTTTTCAGAGTATATGTTGATGTTATTATTTTTACAAGAAATGTTTTAGAGTAAATTATTTGGCTCAAGCAACTTCTTTCAAATAAATTTGAAATCAAGACTTAACTAGTAGGAAAGTTATTTACTTAACTCATACTTGTCCAAACATTAGTTTGGCTGTTAATGTGGGAATTAAGTCCATTCCTGAACAAACCTTCTAAAAGTCATATAGAAGTTTTGTATAGAATATTGAGATATTTCAGGAAAGAGCCTATACTTTTAAAGACTATGAACCAATCTCTAGAGGTGTACACTAATGTAGCTTGGGGAGGTGCTCTTATTGACTGCAAGTCAACTTCAGGTTAGTGCTCATATGTGTGGGGGAAACTTAGTAACTTGGTGCAGTAAGAAGCAACAGATTGTAGCTGAAAGTAGTGTTAAAGCTGAGTTGCAATCTAGCTCGAGGAATTTGGTTAAAGTGCCTACTCATCGAGCTCAAAGTCAGAATAGTAGGTATCATAGAGCTAATGTGTGATAATCAGTCTGTCATAGCTATTGAAAAAAATCCAATATTTCATGATCGAATGAAGCATGTTGAGATAGACTGCCACTTCATTAGTGATAAGATTGAAAACAACACAATAAACCTAAGGTATGTGCCTTCACAGCAGCAATTGAATTGGTCAAGCCTTGATGATTACGTTTCCAAGCTAGGAGTGACTAGCATATACCATCTAGCTCGAGGGGAGCATAGAAAATCAAGCTGTAAATTTAATTTTTTATTTATTGTCTTATATAATTGTGTAGTTTTCTCCTTCCTTTTTAGACTTGGGCTAATTACTGAATTGCTTATTTGGAGTTCTCTGATGGAAATCCTTCTTGTATAAATCTCATTCTATTTCATTCAATGAAAAATTGTTTTCATACATAGCTTCAATAACTAAGAGAAGAAACTGCAGCATTTGGGCAGTGAAGCCTTCTTCCTTTTAAAGGACATACTCCTAAAATATTCAGGCTAGAATTGACACAACTATTCCTTCTCCCAGTGAAAAAGTTATGTATGAAGCTAATTGATGTTTGTCTTTTTCTGGAATTCTCATTCGACATGATTTCTTCCAGTAAAATGTAGAGGCTTCCTAACTTCTTCTTTTTGAGGTTGGGAAAGGCCACATGCACGAGCATCAATTTCTTTGTGTTTTGACATCAATGCAACACAATGTGGTACCAAATTGTCTTAATTCATGAAATTGCTCTCCCTTCAGGTTTAATCTATGAGTTCTATGCTTAAAGAACTTGTTAATAATTTTATAAAATAATCTCATTTGTTATTATGAGTTATGGTGTTTCCAATCTTTGAAGCTTCCCTGCTTACTGGGAAGAAAAGATTTAAGTTATTCACTCAAAAGGAGACTGGACTTCCTTGAACTAAATGTGTTTTAGGGCTTTAAATCAGTATATCAAGGAGCTCGAAACATTGGTTGTCAAATATTTTTTTGCATTAAAACAATTGTGTCTCGGATTCCATCTTATTATTGGTACACTGTTTGACAACGTTCAATGACAGGACAAACTATTTGGAAACTGTAAAAACTGCTCGTTGGGAATACAGTACCCGCCCAGTTTATGGCTGGGGAAATGTTGGATCTAAGCAGAAGTCAACAGCTGGCTGGCTTGCAGCATTTCCAGTATTTGAACCTCACTGGCAAATATGCATGGCAGGAGGGTTATCCACAGGCATGTTCAATCTTTTAATCAGTTTACCTTGGAAATTTTGTTTGACTTGGTGCATTACTTATAATTATGAGGAATTCTAAATTTCGCGCTGTCCTGGTGCTGGATTTATGGTGAAGAACGATAACTATATATTTTTATGGTATGAGGATTCTGTTATGGTTTCGTCTGCATATAGATACGTACATGATACGTACCTATATAAGTTTATGCATATGTCTATCATGAGAAATTCTATATTTAGCTCTGTGCTGGTGCTGGATTGATGGTGAAGAATCGATAACTATATATTTTTATGGTATGAGGATTCTGTTATGGTCCTATATGCATATAGATATATATGATACGTACAGGTGTAAGTTTATGCATATGTCTATTTCGATAGGAAATAGAAACTCACTAAAAAGGAGAAAGAGAGAAAAGAACAACCTAAAGACCAAGGAGATGAAGATTCCCTGGCCTAAAAGAGGGATCCTACCAAACACTCTCTATTTATGCTATAAATAATTAGTATATTTTTTTAGTTCTCTCTACGGGAACTTGTTCTTTTTCATATTTATGGTTTTAGTTCTGTTCGTGTCAGTTTTTTTGATAATTCATTTGGACTGGGTTGTGGCTTTCCTCTCTTCTATTTGTCTGTTTCATCTTCTTTTCTCCTCCTCCTTGGAGCTTGCACATCTTCTTAGATGAACGTATGCTGTGTAAATTATTATGTAATGGAAATATTGTTTCATATCATGCTGCGCTTTCGCCCTAATTTTATTTTCTTGGAAAAAGTTAAAGTTCGGCATATTTCCTGAATTTCTCAATATGAATCACAGGTTGGATTGAGTGGGAGGACGAAAGGTTTGAGTTTGTAAATGCCCCTTCATACTCTGAAAAGAATTGGGGTGGAGGATTTCCCAGAAAATGGTTTTGGGTAAATTTTTTGGCTTTGTAAAGTAAGAAATTATTTGATTCTTTCTATATTCTACAAATTTGAAGTGTAGCATTCTATGCAATATGGCCTAGTTAAAAAATGAGGTTAAAAGAGGGTTGAGTTTTGGAGTACTTAAATTTGGACAAGAAACCTAGGATCGTGAATCGTGTTAGAAAATTCATAGAAGGATGTCAATAAATTTAACTTTTCCAAATTGAGTTTGCTTTTGACTGGCCCATGCATAGAGGAGTTTCCTCTGTTTTTTACATTCATGAGGCCGTAAAAGATTACACCATCTGTATATTTAATGGGATGAAGTATGCTATATTTTCTTGCATATTTACGTAGTATATTGCTGGACCTTGTTGCTCGACTGGCTCAAATATTGTTAAACCTTAGCTCCTTTTAACATGCTGCAGGCTCAGTGTAATGTTTTTGAAGGTGCTCGTGGAAATGTTTCTCTTACGGCTGGTGGAGGTTTGAGACAACTTCCTGGATTGACGGAAACCTTTGAAAATGCTGCATTGGTATTATTATGTGACTCTTCATTGCGTTTTCACTCTCTTTACTCCCTCTCTCTCTCTTTCACACACACACACACACACTGCATTGTTGTGAATGAAATGGTCTCCCCCAACACCCCAAATGCTGTGAACCTACGAACGTGATCCACTCTCTTTATACTTGGAGAGAGACGGTCTTACTTTGAATAGGATTGTTCTATAGGTTGTACAACTTTGTCCTTGAGTTCGCAAAGAGAGAAGGGGTGGGGGTGGGGGTGGGGATGTGAGATCCCACCTCGATTGGGGAGGAGAACGAAGCATTCTTTGTAAGAGTGTGAAAATTTCTCCCTAGTAAACATGTTTTAAAATCTTGAGGGGAAAGCCGAAAGAGGACAATATCTGCTAGCATTGGGCTTGAGCCATTAGAATTGGTATTAAAGTCAGACACTGGGCGATGTGCCAGCAAGGACGCTGGGCCTTGAAGGGGGGTGGATTGTGAGATCCCACATCGGTTGGGGAGGAGAACGTATGGAAACCTCTCCCTAGCAGTCGCATTTTAAAACCTTGAGGGAAAGCCCAAAAGGGAAAACCCAAAGAGGACAATTTCTGCTAGCAGTGGGCTTGGGCCGTTACAGGCAAAGTCGTGGATGGATGGAATTATGCTCGGAAAGGTAGGAAATGTGGGAGTTGGGTGGACATTTTAACCAACAATGATATTTGTGATATTTTAATTGTTGCAGGTTGGAGTCCACTATGATGGAATTTTTTATGAATTCGTGCCATGGAATGGAACTGTTAACTGGGAAATAAGTTCTTGGGGCTATTGGTATATTGCTGCCGAAAATGCAACGCACAAGGTAAATTGTGGATCTCTTAGTTCCAGTCACTGCCCTTCTTTGAGCAATTATAAGATTTCCATCTGATGGATGCAAAAGACTTGATTCTGTTAAAGTACAGTCTTTTAGCAATTAAATAGTAGTGTTAAAGGCATACTAACAACCTCGACATAGCTTAATTGATTAAGATACACTGATGAGGTTTAAATTCTCCACCCCACGTGTTTACTCTACTATAAAGAATAATGATAAAGCATATCAAAATAGTCTAAAAATGCTTTAAAGCGTTTCTTTTGGAAACCAGAAAATTATGCAAAAGTGAAGATTTCTTTCAAGTATTTTAGCTTGTCTTTTGCACAGATTGAATTAGAAGCCAAAACAGACGAGCCTGGTTCACCGTTACGTGCTCCTACAACGGAACGTGGGCTTGACACAGCTTGCAAAGATACTTGTTTTGGTATCTTGAAATTGCAAATGTGGGAACGAAGATTTGATGGCAGCAAGGGCAAGGTGACAGTCTTATATTAACTTGTTTCCATTACTCATTGCTTCCGTTTGGCTTGCACTTAATCATTATGTACAATTCAAGGGCTAAATATGTTTCTTTCTTTTGTTATTCTTGGGCTCTGTGATTGAAAACCAGCCAAAATCCTTCCTGCTTTCCTTAAATATCTTATAGATTATTGAACTTTCATATTTCTATCTAATAGAGTCTTAGCTAGCATATTGTGTCGAGTTCGTGAGTTTTTTTTTAAAAAAAATATTAAATAAGTCAATGACCTATTCGACCTGAAATTGAAAATTCAAGGATTTATTGGATATAAAATTCAAAGTTTAAGGATCTACAATACAAGTTTTAAAGTTAAAAGTTGAGAGACCTATTAGATACACACTTAAAAGTTAAGCATTTTTAAGTATTTTTTTAATACCATTATCATAAATGTCTCCATACACACATGCATGTATACAAGCGACGTCACCACCCTATGATCTGATCATTCTTTAGGAGGTCTTCATACTAGTTATAAATCCCGATAGTGGTTAAAATATCGTGTTAGTATTGGTGTAGATTATTCTCTGCAGAATATTTTCCGAATTCTTAGTGGAATATGACAATTGTTCACCTGCTCTTCATTTTCAGTAGTTATATCAGTACAATTCTTGATTTGCAGATTGTATTGGATGTCACAAGTAACATGGCGGCATTGGAAGTTGGAGGAGGGCCTTGGTTTAACACCTGGAAGGGAGAAACTACCACCCCAGAGATCCTCAAGCGTGCTCTTACAACACCTATTGATGTGGAACAAGCTTTTAACTTGCTTCCCCTCTTCAAACCTCCTGGCTTGTAGACGACAATGACGACAATTACGAACCATCAAGGTCGTGCTGGTTCGGGCAACCTTCGTAGCCTATAGTTTAGTCCTCGAACTTCCAACAATTTGCAGGGTAGAGCTACTTTTCTATGTTTGGGTTCAGCTCATTTTTAGTTAAAAACATGTGAAAAATAGTTTTTAATTAGAAACCGAGACTGGAAAGTATATATAAACATCAACTCTCGTGGAGCTTGAATGGTTGTTATTATAATTAGCTTGCAAAATAATTATAAAATCGTTAGGAGGAGAATTGGAGGCGGGCATCACAATGTTCTGCCGGAAGTTTGGCGGCGAGTTTTGTAATGACGGCGGTGGATACGTTGCCGGGAGGTTGTGGCGGCGGAGAAAGCTGGGTTCCAAGTAATATCAATAAAGCTCATTATGACTATTATTATTTTTTAATTGGTGGTCTGTGCTTTGTGATTTTATTCTACTTTGTTTGGTGTTGTAAGAGATATAATCGTTGGGAAATTAATGAGGATTAGAGGGGGATTAATTTGGTTAATTTAAATCTAATTTGGTTCAAGGGATTTTAGTTTTTGTTTATTTTGTTTTGGGCCTCCAAGAGAGCGCTTTGCCTCTTTAAATTATTTGGGCTGTTTGAGCCTCTCTACTTTGATTTGGGCTACGTCTGTGGGCCTATGCAAAGCGGCCCATAACATCCTATGTGATTTATGGATTAATTCTCAAATCAATTTTTAAATTTAATTTTGAGAAACTGCTGATTTTACTACTTATTTTAAATTCAAAGACATTTTTTTTGTACCTAACCCTTTATATATATATATATATATATATGAAGATTTGCTTTGATTGTGACTTTGGTGGGTTCCCTTACCAAGCCATTGTCTATAAGTCACCGGCTCATTCTTCAACAGACACATAGTCAGAGTCTTGGTCTCCTCCTCCTACGGTTTGAAAGTTTACAATTCCATGTTTTATTTCACTCCTCGATGAGAGTTCTTTCATCCTTCTCTCACGGAACCACACTATCGGTCGCCCAAGAGTATTTAGTCTTGCAAGATAGTTATTATTGATTTACGCTGGATTTCACAGGCTTGATGTGATAGAGGATGTGGTTGAAATTTGTATTTTCTTTATTTGTATCACCTGAACGTCCAAAGGGTCGGTCATCTGTACCTCACCTCGAGAGATCAAACTCATTCAAATCATCGAACGAGCACTTACGATTAAGGAAAATGGAATGTCAACCACAAAATTAGAAATGAATGTACCATCGAATTCTGTCAACGGGAGAGCGATTAAAAAGAGAGAAAAAAAAAAAAAAAGATGAAAAGCAAGAAAGTGAAGAACAAGAGTGGACTCTAATTTTCATTATTGCTTGAGACATACTTATTGCAATATTGATGTTTCTTTTTCCCTTCAATTAACACCCACCATCCAATATATATATATATAATGCAAAATTTAAAATACACATAAAAATAATATTCAAAGTTTCAAATTATATCGAAAGTAATTGGTTTTATTCATATTTTTTTAACCTTACATCCCATGTTAGTTTTATTTATTAATTAATTAATTTATTTTGAAGAATATCCCTAAGATATGACTTGGAAAACCCATGCAAAACAGGTCATCTCCACTTTTTAAAATTCCCATTGGACATTGTCACATGGGATCCTATCAATCATAGGCTTGGAATCTATAAGCATAAGGGATGAATATTAGTACAAATTTTGAAAAATTCCAAAATTAATATTATAAACTATTAAATAATAAGAAAATTTATATATATATATTTATTTATTTATTATTATTATTATCATTATTATATTTTTTAAGTGAGCATTATTAAAATTTTAGTGATTTTTATTCTTAAAATGTTGATATTTTGTAATTTGACTATTAAGCCATTTAATATTATAATATTAAGCCATTTAACCCTTCAAATAATTGAATGGCAAAACCCGTAAATAGTCTTCAAGTCAACGGGTACAAATGTAATTTAGATAGGTGCAATAATAATATGCCGTTTGCCCAACACTGTACGATGAGATGTTTATAAAATCGCACGTCTTTTATTAAAAAATGCCAACCAATCAACCATTCTAAGCCTCTTCTATCTAGTTCAGTCTTTGAGCTTGCCGGCATATCAATGGCCAAAATTGCATTGGGATGCGTTGGCGAGGCGACTCAGCCCGACTGCATCCGAGCCCTCGTCGTCGAGTTCATCACCACCTTCCTTTTCATCTTTGTTGGTGTCGGATCAGCCATAACTGCCAGTAAGTTCTCTAGTTTTCCTCGTTCTTCATGCATTTGAATTATACTAAAATTGAGAATTTTCTGTGCGAATAGATACACTACTAGGAAATGCACTCGTGGGATTGCTCGCTGTCGCTGTCGCACATGCGCTGGTTGTGGCTGTGATGATCTCCGCCGGCCACATTTCCGGTGGCCATCTCAACCCCGCCGTCACCCTCGGTCTCCTTTTTGGTGGTCATATCACAGTTGTCCGATCCGCTTTATATTGGATCATTCAGTTGCTAGCAGCGTCTGCGGCTAGTTTTCTGTTATCTTACCTCACCGGAGGCTCCGTGAGTCTCATCGTCTTCCTCCTTCAGCTATGAACACAATAACAAGATCTCATATTATGTTTGAATGTTCTTCTTGTTTGCAGGCTATTCCAGTTCACACATTAGCAAGTGGAGTTGGCTATCTTCAGGGAGTGATATGGGAGATTATTCTCACTTTCTCCTTGCTGTTCACTGTCTACGCAACAATGGTTGATCCAAAGAAGGGAGCTCTTGATGGGTTGGGTCCAATGTTGACTGGGTTCGTGGTGGGGGCTAACATCTTGGCTGGTGGGGCCTTTTCTGGAGCTTCAATGAACCCAGCAAGATCATTTGGCCCAGCTTTGGTGGCTGGAGACTGGACTGACCACTGGGTTTACTGGGTTGGACCTCTTATTGGTGGAGGACTTGCTGGGTTCATCTATGAAAATTTCTTCATTGAGAGGTCTCATGTGCCTCTGCCTAGGGCAGAGGCCGAGTATTAAAGTCTCCTATGCTCTGGCTGATGCAGTTTGTGTTAATGAATTAGAACATTAAGAGGAAGAACTTGAATGTAATAATGGATGTAATGGGGTGAAGAGGGTGGGTTGTTAAGTGTCACGTTTTCTTAATTAATGAAATTATTTATGCTATTTAGTTTATGGGTGAGGTAAAGGTCTAATGGATGTATCTTATGGCTACTAAATTTTTCTGAGTTGTGCTTGCTACCTGCTTAAATCTCGATCTTATCCTATGGTTGGGAAGCATCAACCACGTCCTGCTCACAACGGAAGTTTCATCGAGATCTAATAAAAAGAACGACATCGAAGAAGTTTAGATGCTAAGGCTCCATTCTATTATTGTAAATAGGTGGCTCCCATGGAGATTCCTCAATCAATTTCGAGTCTTTTCTATCCTCTATCATAATGAGGGAGCTCCTACAAAGATTCCCAAATCAATCTTTCTTTCACCTTAAGCCTATTGAAGATTGTTGGGCAGGAGCCTCAAATCGACTAATTAAAAGGATGATCGTGGGTTTATAAGTAAGGAATACCATTGGTACAAGACCTTTTGGAAAAATCAAAAGCAAAATCATGAGAGTTTATACTTAAAGTGGACAATGTCGTACCATTGTGGAGATCCATGGTCTTTATGGTATACTTTGTTCGAATGGAGGATTGTTGGGCGAAAGTCCCACATCAAGGATGATCATAAGTTTATAAGAAATACATCTTCGTTGATATGAAGCTATTTGTATAAATCAAAAGTGGACAATGTCATACTATTGTGGAGGTCCATGATCTCTATGATATACTTTGTTCAAGGGGAAGATAATTGGGGGAGAGTCCTACTTTGACGAATTAAGGGGATGGTCATAAGTTTATAACTAAGGAATACATCTTCATCGGTATGAGACATTTTGGAGAAACCAAAAGCAAAGTCATGAGAGCTTATACTCTATGCAGACAATATCATACCATTTTGGAGGTCAATAGTTCGTAACACACACCACTCACTCCTCGAGAGAGGGAAAGGTGCTACTACAAACATTCTTCAATCAATCACACTGTTCTCACCCTTCTCTCCATCCAGGGAGTCTCTTTCACCTGGAAATTTGTCTCTTTTGAATTACCACTTTGAAGACATCATTTTAAAGCTACAATATCAAACAAATGCACAACAAAAAGAAGAGTAAACGTACAATGCACCAATCAAATCCACTGAGAACTCTTTATCATCATTTAAATTAATGCCCGGTTTACAGCTCTGAAAGACCCAATTAGTATGGATTTGAGATTACATAAAAGTAAATCATACAACAGACGATACCTTCCCAAGCCAGATTATGTCGTGGAGCACAATTCATAGGCAAGGACTTGGATCCAATCAGCCGACTTTTGAGGAATCCGTTGGGAGTTGGGGCTGCAAGCTTCTCCTCAAAAAAGCTGACATTTTTGCTGTTGCAGCACGCCCTCGTTCCAGACAGTGAATATAATCATCCACTTCAGATAAACAACAACAATAATTAGATCCCATGCTTGTTTTTCCATCTAACATTCACATTTTTCAGATTCCATTGGTAACCCAAGAAAAGACTAACTCTACCCGTTTTGACATTTGATGCTATAATAAGATCCAAGTACATTTTCGATCACAAAACGGCATTAGATAGAAAGTACATGACATGATGAGAGAAATATGCCGTATCCATTGCTAATAAATGGTTTATTTTGTCCATCGAAGTGTGCCATGGTGTCAAGAAAATGAAGATCATGAATGAAAAAAACAACCACAAAAGAAACAAGAAACTTGCTGTGCGTTACTAAAGGGGGTGAGCCAGATGCGTGTTCAAAATGTATTGGAGCCTCAGGCATGAGATGCATTTAGTTCTTGGTATAAAAATATGTGATCATTAACATAATATAGAAGTGAATACTCAGTATGAGCTTATTGGGACACTGACATCCTAAAATTCAAACATAGTACAAATATGCACATTTTCAATTACGACTACTGGAACATAGCTTGGTTTCGTGCACAACATACCTGACATTGCACCCTGAGTTAAAGATGTTATTATTCCGTTCTCCAGAGGTTCGCCTCCAACTTGGGTAGATCCTTCAGGAATTACTGAGACGGGTGAGTTCGGAAAGACCAAATGTACAGAAGCCTTCATTTTCTGCATTTTGAGTTCACTTTTCTTTAAATTCACTCGTTTGATAATCAAATTAAACAATTTTCATTTTTTCTCTTTTTCTTTGATAAATTCAATAATCTGTAACTACTTAGCCAACCCCAAGCATGGCAAATTTGCATATGGACCATATCTATGACTTTTATCATGCATATAAAAATTAACTGCAAACATTGGACAAGCATTGCCAGAGGAAGTATTACAGATTCAATAAGTAAATTTACCAACCTGCTCCTCTAGCTTGGTTGGATCCAAAATAACATATCCACTCTCAGACAAACAACAAGAAATTGCAACTGCAACATGCAGTGCAGAGTAGTCAGTGCCAACCATTAATTTACCAAGTGAATCCATGAATAATAAGACCATAAAATTAGATTACCAGCAAGATGCTTTAAAGGAATTCCAGCATCTACTAAGGCAGCACATGATGCATTAATTGCACAAGGAAGAAGCTATTTGAGGGCTCTGTCAAAGAAGTTCTTCATGAAGATATTTCAAGAAAGGTATTCCCACAAATAAAGAAAAAATAATGCTCATGTGTGGTACATAAGTTGACAGAATATCAAACCTATACAAGGTAAAAAAAAAAAACATTTTTTTTACAGTGGCATGACATTGGAACATTTTAAACAAATGTCACTTCAAATTTAGAAGAAAAATCAATGTGATATATTAGGGGAGCTCTTCCACCGTGTCCCTAGGCAGGGGATCACAGAATATCTAGATTTTTGACCCAATGAACAGATAAAATAACTGTCCATGTTCATATGTAGGCCCTAGTTCTTCCCTTTTCCTCGACAAAACAGTAGTTCCCCGTGTAAGATTAACGTGAATCAGCTCTCATATAGCATAATTGGTTAGAGCACTTATAATGTAGCTGTGAGGACTTGGACCCAGGTTCGACTTCCAAGGATAGTGTTAGTAAATCAGTTTGAATAGGATCACGATGACATGAATTGCGTGTCTTAACATACTTATATTTTCCTAACATTATTTTTAGTAATCTAAAAACGAGGTATTAAATCACAAGGGATACAGCTCCATCATCATGAATAACCTGCAATTACAGGGGGAAATATCAATGTATTTGAGATAAGAAACTAAGTGCAACATTATTAGTATAAATGCCCTAAACATAATGTATTTCAAAGCTGACAGTCCAAAACATTTTTCATGAGATGGAAAATGAAAAGGTGTTAATTTCCTACAACGAACAATTTCGCATCGAGGTCGTCCTTGATGGTTTTAAAATATTTACACTTTTTCAGCAACAGAAGTTTCAGTAACATAATAGCATGTTCCAGCTACTTATTTCTTATACATAATATTTAGAAGTTTCAGATATAAAATAAAATGATGTAACATGCGCTGGCTATGTAAATATCCATGTTAGGAGTAGTCAAGCAAAAAATCTTAATAAACGTGTTCGTTCAGACTAAAGGAAGATTGGAATGAAGGGAATTTGCTAAGTCCCAAGCATGAGTAATAACATTACTTTCTATATATGAATGTATAAAAAGTAATGCTAAATTTTAAACTTTAAGGTTGTGCATCTTTTATGCAGGCTCAGAGATTGGTTACCTTCAACAAGATTTTGAGATACCCATTTCATGTATATTACGTTTTAAACATCAAAAGACCAGCAATATATCACAGGAATCTTGAACCAAAAAGGGGGGAAAGTGGACTCACCTGAACTACAATAGATGTGGTGGTATTGGGATTTATAGTTAATATGCAAATACTCTGCAATGTCCTCTTCAATATCATCTCACACTCCCTTTCCAGTTTTCCTAATACATTATCAAATGTAAGAAGATGCATTGATGAGATTCAGAGAATATCATCCATATGCTTCAGAATCAATAAAGTACAAAAACTAGACAGTATGTTCATTGAATGCCATACTTTGAATGGCAATAATACGTAAGAAATTTACTGAACTACAAATATTCATGGGATAAGAACTTTATCATACGATTTAGAGATGGATAAAACAAAGTGAATAAGAAAGTAAAGAAACGTACCAATTTGCCCTGTTTTCGGTTTCCATATAACCTCAATTGAAGCCTTTTCAGGATTTTCATTCTTCTTTGTTCCTGCTTTAGGTCCATAGACTGCAGCGAGAATTTTCGTGTCGCCTGTAAAATCCAGATTACACAAACCTCTCATAAGAAAAGTTCCCGAAATCGAACGAAATCACAAACTAATGAAACAAGAACTAAGAAGTGATGGTAGAAGACGGAGAGACCTTGAGACCAACTGGCGGATCCATGAGCACGATTAAGAACATTGCAAGAACAAGCAAGTGGTCTCAACTGGTTGGCGGTACGGCCATCATCTCTGTCTATCTCCATGGTCTTTCACAGGTGATTTCAAACGATTAGAAAGAAAAAGAATAGCTGGTCAAGAGAATGGAGTGAGCGAGTATCAGAGAGAGAGATGACGAAGTAGAGGAGGCAGAGAGGTGGCGCCGCCGGGCCTATGAATACTGGGAGAAGGACTGAGAGAGACTGAAGGAGAAGACGGGACTAGGGCAAAAGTGTCTTTTTCTTCTAATTCCCAGTTTACCGGCAAAAAAAAAAAAAGGCTAAATTAATCCCACACACACACACACACACACACACACACACA